GTCCACATTCTGGCTCCTGAAACTTCTAGGCTTCTGCTCCGAAGTGACACACTTCACTTCTTCTCACATTCCATTGGCTAAAGCAAATCATATGCACCAGCAAGAAGCCAATGGGGCAAAGATGCAAAATCCTCTTAAAATACAAATGGCTTGCCCTAGTTTGGCTAAGTGGATAGAGCATCAGCCCTCCGACTGAAGGGTCCTGGGTTTGATTCCAATCAAGGACACTTACTTCGGTTGCGGGCTCAATCCCTGGCCCTGGTTGGGGAGCATGGGGAAGGCAACCAATCGATGTGTCTCTCTCACATGGATGTTTCTTTCTCTCTCTCTTGGTCTCTCTCCCTCCCTTTCACTCCCTCTAAAAAGCAATGAAAAGCTATCCTCGGGAGAGGATTAACAACAACAAAGAGATGAATGGCTTGAACTTTAATTCAATTCACCACTTGCCATCATATCCAGTTCACCTTTCCAGGGGCGTGGAAACCTGTAGAACACGTTTCTCAGGCTTCTGTCAGCTGGCTTCTGCTAAGGGGAAGCCCGCACGCACCCACCCACCCATGGGAGAAAGGGGAGTGTGAGGTTGGGAGAAGCCAGAGCCTTTGCTCCCTCCCTATTGCAGGGGGCTCCTCCAGTGGAGGCTCGATTTCCTCCCTGGTGCCAACCCCGCCAGATGGGCCTGCTGAGGTTTCTTCTTCTGCTGAGTAGCCCCAAACACTGTGACCTGAAAGTCACATACTTTGATCCATCTCCTAATCTATAGGATGGGATCTGTGTAGGATGTGATGATGTGACCTGCTCACATCATCCAGTTGTTTCACAAATAAAATTTTCATGTCCATGAACATGTGAAAAATAAAGTGCTGGACAAACAAGGTACTGGAGGGTACACAAAATGAGGCAACATGGCGCAGCAGGAAAGAAAATGAGACTGGGGATCCTAACTCTCGGGTTCAGGATCTTGCCCTGCCTTATCCAGGCAACACCATGTTCTCTGTTTTCCCAATCTGTGATCTGGAGATAAAACTGTGGATAGTGGAGTGCTTGCAGCGGCACGAATGAGAATATCTGTGAAGATGCAGATGGTCAAGTGTAAAAAGCTATCCAAATGTTAAATGAATTCACTAGTTATAAGCAGAAAACTTTATTTCTATCAAATCAAAAAGTTTGAATAAGCTTCAAGCAAGATAGTAAAACTAATAATACAATGAACAGTTAAAACACTTACAGATTAGGTTTTTATAGTCTGCATTAAGCATATATACTCAAATCAAGAAGGCCGAGGGCTCTCCCTGAAGGAAAGCACTGACTCATCGTAAACACATGACTTCTGGGAAAGCGAGCTGAGGGTTCACAGGGCAGTAAACCAGAGACAAGTTGTCCTTGGGTTGGAGAACTGATTTGAGCGTGAGAGGGATCACAGTGAAATGCCATTGGAACTCAATTTCCCCCAGAGATCTGTTCATCTCAAAAACAAGAGTATATAAAAATCAGTAGTACAAATTCTCCTAAAACCAGAAAGGCCCTCTGACCCCTGACGCCTTGGCGCTGACATAAAGACTGAGTTTTTGTTTTTCTTCCCTTTTCTATAAATTAAATACAATTCAGTTTGTTTTTACTGAGTACATTTCTGACTGTATAGCCAAAGCTTTAAAATAAAGAAAAAGTTTTGATGAAATGGAGTTAGACACACACTAACCCCAGGGAGAATCATCTGGGTGCACTGATGCTCGAAGAGTTTTTAAGCAGGAAATCTTTTCTTTCAAAGATACAGAACTTCTTGGGATAGCCTAATTATCACTAAGGAAGGAAGGAATATCCATGCCATACAAGAGCTTTCTCCTTTTTGGAAATGTTTTACCATCTCTCTCTCTTTGTCATTCTGTCTCACACACACAGTAATTAGATAATGGCATTTATTTTGGCAAGAACTGTGCAATTTGCTAAAAGAAAGATAAGATATGGCACTTATAAACAACTGTAATTATAATACATCTCAACAGGTGCAGGAAGCAGATATTTCTTCACGGCTGAAATATGGCCTCATGGGTCCCCGACATCTGGGTCTTGCACACTTCTCCCCTGGAAACCAGACTGGGCCCGTTATGTACGGAAAAGGGGTGATAACTTAGGACCAGACCACATTCTTCTTTTGAGACACCAATCAGACACAAGGGAGTTACTCAAAATGGAGGGGAAGAGAGAAGCAATTCATACAGTGAACATGATCTGCCTTATGAATGGCCTCTCCGGCAAAATTAACTGCAGCAAGAAAATGTAACTGCTGTCTGTTCAGGGAAAGGTGATAAGCAAAATTCATCCGGTAGATACGGATGCCTCCCAGGATCCTGTAACACAGGCAGAGTACAGATGAGACATATGCCCTCTGTGTATACCAGGGGTGGGCAAACTTTTTGACTCGAGGGCCACAATGGGTTCTTAAACTGGACCGGAGGGCCGGAACAAAAGCATGGATGGAGTGTTTGTGTGAACTAATATAAATTCAAAGTAAACATCATTACATAAAAGGGTACGGTCTTTTTTTTCAATAGTTTTTATTCATTTCAAACGGGCCGGATCTGGCCCGCGGGCCGTAGTTTGCCCACGGCTGGTGTATACAGTGTGCAACTACCACTGGGACCCAGGGAGGGCCCATTTCCTGTCTCAGAACCAGAGCGCCAAAAGCAAAGGTGCCAGGCGGGAGCAAATATGTTGCTTTACCTACTAATGAGGATGGAGAGCTCAAACTAAAGAAAGGTACCAAAAAGGCCATTTTTCATTTCCTGATTAATCCCTATAGGTCCATGAAAACAGTTCACGTAAACCGGATTATTTCAGTTCCTAAATACAAGGAGGCAAGGTAATTGAAATATCTATCATTTAGGGTAATTGTTAAGGATTTAATTAGACAATGCATGTAAAGCGCTTAGCATGAAATAGCAATAACCAGCAACTGCTCAGAATGCCTATACCATAACACTTGGAAATTTGTGATGTTTATGATTTGAGCAAATACCCCCAGCATGCCGGTAAATTGTTTAGACAAACTGCTCAAGTCAAATACTGAACGTAGGTTCCAGTAAGTTAAATTTTGTAAAAGCCCTATGTATGGATTTGCACAGGTATCTTTCTAACATTATTGTCTCAACATTTTGAGTGGCAGAAAAAAACCACAGCAGTACCTCTCTCACCCATTGCTCCTTTCCTTTCCCTTCCCAATGGGGGTTGGGGGTCAGGTAGGGAAGGGGGGAAGAGGGGGGCACATCTGAGCGTGGCTTCTGGAGGGGGACGGGGAATGGCCTGGGGAAGGTGAGGAAGACAGGAAGCTAGTCTCCCGAGTTGGCCAGAACTGTGTATGATAAGCAGCGCCACCACATCAGATGGCAGGCTAAGGTGTGGATTTGGCATTCAGAATCCTGGTGATATAATATAAAGAGATGGTGTCAAGTCAGGGTTACCCTGTGTAGGTGCACATCACCATTGGTTCACCTACCAGCACTTTAGGAAGGACCAGTTTATCACAGGGCCTTGTCTGGGGTTGCAGCAAGCACTTTGTTCTAATCTCAGGAAAGAAGTGAGGCTCCCAGGAGCCCTGACCTACCTGTGAGCACCATGGGTGAGGGTGGCTAAAGGGTAATGGTCCCTTTAAGGGCTTAAAACCATGGACACGAAAGGGTTGGTGAGGGACATGAGATTCCCTTCTCCATAGATTAGCCAGGACTCAGGCCAGCCTATAGTGCATGAACAGCCTTTTATTTTGTCTATAAATGAGAATAGTTTCGGAGGAGTATCAAGGCTCAGACTTTCCTCTAGCAGCTTCCTTTGCGTAAGCAAAGGGAAAACTAAGAACAGTACCGTGTAAAGCGGAATGTCACGTAGGGGGACCATTTTTTATGTGAGGCCACTCTTAAATACAAGACAAAAACAAGCAAGCTCACTCAGGAAACAGGTGGTTGACATCCAGGAGCACACTCCGCTGCAGTCAGGAAAGCCTGAGCGTGAGTCCTGGCTACAGTTATTGGCAGCAGGGGCCTGGGCACATGTCTGACCTTGCCTTCCCTTATAAATGTAGGAGCGTGCCTATCTTACAGGATGCTTGAAAGACGAAGTACAGGGTGGGTCACAGTTGTGAGGGCATAAAAGTTTGTTCCTGTATTATTTATTATTGTATTATTTTCCATGAACAGCTGTAAACCTATTTTTGCCCCACCTTGTATTTATAAAGGCCCTGAAACTGCACATGTCAGTCGGTAGGCCTTTGATAAATGGTACCTCTTTTATGCTTGCATTAAAGTTAACGGGTATTAAACACAGCAATGTTTAAGTCCTGAACAATCGGGCCGCCTGTCAGGATGATGGAGAGAAAGTGAATTCAGAGCTGGTTAGAACCACCGCATATGAGGACAGGGGGGAATCTCAGACTATCCAAACGATTTCTGCGTAACAGCAAAGGAGCTGTGTGTGTGGCAGTAGAATGAAAACCAAGAAAAGCTGTCCCTTGGATTTTACTTTTCCCAAAATATTTTCCAAAACAATTTTTAAAAAATTTTTTACAAAATCATTGAAGGAATGTGTTGAAGAAAACCAGAAATAATATATATTTAGACCACTGAGCATGAAATAAGCATCATCTTCCAAAGACCATGGAAAAGGTGTGTGACTTTTTTTGGTCTCACCTAGCAAAGGGCCACCCCGGTTGGTGGGCAGTCTCAGAAACAGCCAACACTGTGAGACACAGTGTCACAGGCTGTGGTTGTTATTTTGCTGGAAGGGAGATGGGAGTGAAGGATGGAGGAATATGGAATCAGTGAGCAGGTCGTTTCCTATCCCTTCCCCAAAGAGGCCAAAGGCAATAAGTCCACTGAAGTCCCTCCCAGGAATAGTAAAGGACCCTCACTGGGAGTAATCACAATGCATGAAGAGGGATATTTTTTAAGGCAACAGGAATAAACTTCATCATTCTTCCCAGAGGAGAGCAAGAATTATACAAGGTGGCCACCAAGTCTGGAAACCAAGCAAAGCGTTAACAAGTGATTTATTGATATTACATTACAGTGAGTGACAAAATAGTGTTATCCGTCTTTTTAGACTTTATGGCCACCCTATAGAATCTTTGGAATAAAAAAAAAAAAATTAAAATTTTGTTTTCTCGTCATTGTAAAGCTGTCATCCTGAGTCTAGGCACAGCTAGTGCAACATGTTTCCGCAACCCCACAGGCTCCATTCCCTTCGCCAACACTTTACTCACAGGAGAAAAACACTGTCGGCATCAAAATTTAGCAGCATTTTCAAAATACATTTTTTTTTATCTTGAATAAAAAGTAAACAATTCTTTTAGTCCAGTAACTCCCTATGGTCTTAATTACATCTAGTACATAAGATATGACCTTTTAACATTTATGTAGGTGAATATTTCTTACTTTGGGGATTTACAACGACGATTTTTTTTTCCAACAACAACAAAAAAAAAAGGAACAGTATCCACCCATGAGAGTCAGATCAGCAGTGTAAAGTAGACCCTCAAAGAGCTCAGTTCTGGTGCATCGAGTGATCTGACATGATCCCCTAGCTCTCAGCTCTTACAGAGGAATCTCAGCGGGCTCAAAGCAGTAAGTATCTGTAGGGAGAAAGGGAGGGGAGGCAACAGATGTTTAAAAAACAACAACAACAAAAACACCATCTAATAAAAATAGCAGAAGCCAAATCCTTTCATTCCAGGATGTCTGAAGGGCAGAGCTTCTATGGAGCATGGATGCAAGGGAGATGCCTCTCCTAACAAAAAAGAAAAAATAAGTTGTGGGTACAGTCACTCAAAGTCAGAGAAGCGACCACTGCGAGCAACTGGCTTCAACCTCCTTGTCTCCAGGGGAGGACATACCAGAGACCGTGGACAAAGCCCAGGCTACAGCCCTGGGCATCCTCAGGCCACTGGTGCTGTGGTTCAACAGCCTTTAGGGGGTGGGGAGAACCAAGAGACAACCACCACCATATGCAAAAAGGCTGCCACTATGGCAACATGAAGGTCAAAAATCAGCTAGAGCTTGGGTTATGCGGCGTTTGAAATCCAGCCTGTCCTCGTTTTCTGGCGGAGGGCTTGACGGGCATGTGCAGAGGCATCTTCAAACATGTGCGGGTGACCCTTCTTTCCGGAGGGCAGAGAACAGCCTCTTCATTGCCTCCTTTACTCATTAGTTTTCATATCAGTTCATCATTGAAACTAGAAAAGATACTGCAAGCTATCTCAGCTGGCTTCTACTGGGGACCATACTACACATACAATTGAAACATCTGGAGGGAGAAGCACATCTTTCTGGTTCTTCCCCGGGCCGGGCTCAGCATGCTTCTCTGGACTGAATCGGCGTGATCTTGTTCGAGAAAACCGCGTAAACGCAGGGCCAGATTTTGTCAGTGTCCGTCCCAGAAAACTGGTGGAGCACTCCTCGGGACCTGAAACACAAAGCCCAGCACACACAGGCATTGCAGGTAAAATGCAAGCACAATCTCAGAGTCTCCATCACACGCTGCAAAGCGTCCAAAGGGCCCCTTCAATGTTATCAGCACCCACCTCTGTGGTTTCTAAATAAGGCCATAGCTTTCGCAATTCTGGCAAGCTTGCCACCATGCCACCTTTTCTTCTCCCCTTTAAAACATATCGAAGAGCATGACTCTTTGGGGGACAATCCCAAGTCTGCCTCATGACACATTTCTGAAAAGGGAACCACGGACAAGATTTTGTACTCTAAAACCCAAATTACGACCATGATCGTGAAATATGGAATGAGTCACAGTAATCTGATCAGGAACCTCAGACCTAAACGACAGCTAAATTCTTTGGAGGCTACAAGATCAGAAATGGATCATAGCAGGAGCTGTACCCTGCTGTCCTGAATGCAGGTCCGCACACAGGTGTCACTGTTGCTAATGTAAAAAGACACCCCAGAGCCAGATGTCTGCTTCTCTTGAAAAACAGGAATCATTGGTCACATGGAGCCTGGGGGGACCCCTGTGGTGATAACTGACTGGAGCTGCATAGAAGCCATACAGTTCAACTGCCACTCAACTGCCCCTGCACCCCCCACTCCCACCTCCCCCACCCCTCTGTTGACATTCATTTCCAGGACCTGCCATTTGAATTTGCAATCCACAACTTATAGTTTTAGCTTTTCTTTGTAAAACTCCTTCCAGACACATCTAGGCCAAAAGTCCCATCTAACCTTGTATCCAAATAAGATATATATGTGTGGCATTTTCATTTTTCTTTTTTAAGTGGCTGAAATAATGCTTTACATTTTGACACTAAGTCTAGATGCAATTTCCAACTGGACAGGGATGATCAGGTGTCAGAGCTGGGCGTTGTCTCCCACCAACAACTCCAGCATTTCATCCTGGGAATGTGCTAGGCTTTTAGGGCTTATCTAGCTGAAAGAAACATCCCCCACCTCTACCCAAGGCCCTTCCCATGAGACTCCACACCTCTCTAATGGGCCAACTGCCACAAAAACACTGAAGCGCACTCACTTGTAGAGTTTAACCACCGGCTTGGCCACCTCCTTGTACTGTCTTAGCCTGACGTTGACTGCTTCCGGCTTATCATCCTCCTGCTGGACCAGCCGTTCACCTGTGACGTCATCAACCCCCTACAAATGCCAGAGAAACCAGTTAATATGGGCATCGGTCAGGCCATTCCATAGTAAAACACTTTCCTGTGACAACCATGTCTTCACCTTTGATTCCCACCACATAATGGGTTAGGCCTGGGCACAGTGGTAACAGGGAAGGCACTTGAAAAGAAACGGCACTCTTAACAGCATGTAAGCCCTACTTCATGAGAGCTGACATTAAATCTTTATTAACTTCTCAGAGCTTTCCAAGCAGGTTCCTGTGCTGTTGATAAATGATACCTTCAATTCAGTTTATATTTCCACGCAGCCTCCCTCTGCCAACAAGCAACCTTTCAACAAAATGGAGATGCTCTCTAAAGCCTGAGTTCTTAATATAGAAAATGAAATGTTTCAAGGAGCCAACTGGTTTACTTAGGGGAAGCACTAACTGAGAAGATCATTTCAGTCCTGCCTCCGCTAACTTTCAAATTCTATCATGTAGCTTTTCTAAGAGTAATCTACTCGTGTTATTTTACTAAATCAAATAATGATTTATCTAAAGGTAAGTTAGCCCTGGCCGATTTGGCTCAGTGGTTAAGCCATCGGCCCGTGGACCAGAGGGCCATGGGTTGGATTCCCAGTCAAGAGTACCTGCCTAGGTTGCAGGCTCAATCCCAGCCCCCGTTGGGGTGTATGTGGGGAATGGCAGATCGATGTGCCTCTATCATCATCGATGTTTATCTCCCCTTCCATTCTGTCTAGAAATCAATGCAAAAAATATCCTTGGGAGAGGATTAAAAAAAGAATTTTAATAAAGGTAAATTAAAATAGGCATGAATCATACACTCATGATAATCAGGAACAAACATTCTGAGAACTGAAAAATGGCAATTAAAAAAAAATCACCTGATTTTTAAATGTATTTTAACCTCCTCAGATACCCTATATAGAAATAGCAAATTGGACAGATCAGAATTTTGCCTCCCAAGTCCATGGCCATTCTGCACCCGGGGAGATAGTCAAAAGAAATAAATCTGTCAGAAGGCAGGCTAGAGCAGAACCAAAGTGCTCAGGCAACTCAACTGGATAATCAGAAACTGGCTATAAATTTAAAACTCGCTACAACTCCATTAAATTCCATTACAGCTCAGGGTCCTGGGTACATAATTTACACTGATGACTTACTGGTGAGTCACATGTGTATTCCATCGCTGCTACCCTGACATAATAGGAGCGAGCAATAGGGAAGGGAGAGGCTATACATCACCTATATCCCACTCTCTTTTTTCATACGTTTGGCTGCAAAGCTCAGAAGTCATTTCCAGCACTTGAGAGCCCCAGCAAATACAGCTGCTTCTGGAAAGAGCAGGAGGATGCTAGGGCAACAGCACTGGCCTTCTGGGGGAGCTCTCGGACCCCAGGGCTGGTCAAGCTGGCCCAGACAAGCACTTTTACTGCTGTCTTTGGAAGCAGCATTATAACTGCCGGTATTCTTGTTGGGAAACCCAGTCTTTGGAAAGTGTTAAATCATCTCAAATTTTATGAGAATCTTTGCAAAAGCAGATCTAGGCAGAGCCAAAATGTGAAGCATCTGTGCTAGACTTCAGTGCATATTCAGAATGTTCTCCCCACCCATTTTTTCCCCTGCTAGCAGCTTCTTGGGATGGAAAAGAGAAAGAGATCTAATAAAGAAATTCCAGAACTACTTACATTTAAAAAGGAGATGAGGCCCTAGCCAGTTTGGTTCAGTGGATAGAGCATCGGCCTGGAGACTAAAGAGTTCCAGGTTCGCTGAAACCGGTTTGGCTCAGTGGATAGAGCGTCGGCCTGCGGACTGAAGGGTCCCAGGTTCGATTCCGGTCAGGGGCATGTAACTGGGTTGCGGGCACATCCCCAGTAGGAGATGTGCAGGAGGCAGCTGATCGATGTTTCTCCCTCATCGATGTTTCTAACTCTCTATCTCTCTCCCTTCCTCTCTGTAAGAAATCAATAAAATATATTTTTAAAAAAAAAGAGTTCCAGGTTCAATTCCAGCCAAGGGCACATGCCCAGGTTGTGGGCTCGATCCCCCCCAGTAGGGGATGTGCAGGAGGCAGCCAATCAATGATTCTCTCTCATCATTGATGTTTCTATCTCCCTTCCTTCCTTTCTGAAATCAATTAAAAATTTTTTTTTTTTTTAAAGAATAGTGTTAAAAAAAATATTGAAACTAGTGGTCAGCCCAAATCAGCCAGACTCATTGGAACTTCACTGAACCTCTAGCTAGGAAGGCATCCTTACGGTTCTAATTTTCCAAAATCCCATCCAGCAATCAATGTTATAAACTTTAATTTACATTCCTTAACTACTAGTAAATGAGCCTTTTAAATATTGGTTGGCTATATATATTTGCTCATTTTTCAACAGTCCCTTCCTATCTCTTACCCACTTCTCAACTAAAATGTCTTGGTTCTTTCTTGTTAGTTTGTGAGTGCACTTTGTATATTCTTACATGTACAAGAGGTGGATTGAAGTCCAGGTTATACACCCTCCCGCTAGGAGGGTGAATCCAGCGTCGGCTGAGACGATCTCTGAGTGTTTCAAATGGAATGTTCAGAGTGATCACGAGGTCCAGGTCACAGATTCTGTCTAGGGCTTCAGCCTGAACTAATGTCATGGGAAAACCTAAACGCCAAACAAAACACAACAAATGCAAGACATTTCTCAATTCCAATTAGTCGCTGAAATATAACCTACTCCCAAAATTAATGAGAAGAAAACAGGCTACTTTCCAATGTGGTTCCAGCTTTTGGAGTGCTTGAGGACTAAGGAGTCACATGATAAAAGTAGAAAGTTCACTAAACTGAAAGTCACTAGACAAGTCCCAGCTCCAGTCCCGGCTCTGCTCCTAACTACCTGTGTGACCTTGGACAAGTTACATCACCCCCATTTCCTCTTCTGTTAAAGAAGTGAAGGGTCAAAGCAATATTTGTGCCCTCTTAGCTCTAAAAGTTTGAGTATAGTATTCCTAAGTTACCATAAAAGTGTGTGTGTGTGTGTGTGTGTGTGTGTGTGTGTGTGTGTGTGTGTGTGAGAGAGAGAGAGAGAGAGAGAGAGAGAGAGAGAGAGAGAGAGAGAGAGAGAGAGAGAGATTAAAGTAGGCTCTTTCACCCAGGCTTCATTGGGGCCTGTACCTTAACAAGGTGGCCAAAAGTCCATTCTCAAAAAGAACTGGTGGTCTTAAAACTATCTGGATACGGCAAAATTTATGAACCCAGCCTGGTTTTCCACAGGTGGGAAAACAAACAGCAAAATTGAATTTGGGCTCAAGCACATCTCTTCCCTTTTTTCTTAAAGGCAACCTCGGAGTTAGGTAACTGCAAATTATGTTCTCTCCCCGTCCCCTACCCCTGCCCCTGCCCCCAGGAATTAACCTGCATTAAATGTTACTCCAAGTTTGGCTGGGGTGGGACTACACAGTGGTATATTTCTTCCCAAAAAGAATCATTTCAGGCTGTTTGCTCCGTTAAAAACCTTTCTGTATCTGATATCAGTTGTGTTTTTTGTTGTTGTTGTTGTTGTTGTTGTTTTAATGTCCTTTAAATTTTAGGAAAGGCAGGAGGATGGAAAGCTGAATGGGAATTATAACAGGAAGTGCAATATCCAGAAGATAAACTTTTTAAATCACTTCAGGTAAGGACACCAGCCTATCTCCACCTTTCCATCAGTGGAAATAACAAGATGACAATGTAAAGAAAGGTCTTTATGGCCCTGAAACACCCACTGTTCAAAGAACTCCTTTTCCTACTGCAGGAAGTCAGTTGTTCAATCATGAATGTCTTACGTTCTGTGTTGAAATTCTAAAGTGGTATGAATGTCAAGATTTTCAGAGTGCTTTATTAGCTAATGTGATCAAATCCACCCAGCTTCAGGTACCAACCACTGCTGCAAACTCCAGTACTCCCCTCAAAGCCTTCCTTATCGGCTGTCCATGAGGCCAGGCTCCTCTCTCCAAATCCCTCCCAGGCTGCTCATCAATCATCTTTCCCATAAAGAAACAGGCCCTTCTTGCCTCCTCTCCACCTAGCAGGACTACAGGCTAAGCCATGGGTGAAATTCCTGCTTTTCTTCGGCTCTACATGTTTCCCAGTTGCAATCTAGCTCACCTGTCCCCACAATTTCACTTTCAGGCTGCCCATGATACCAGTTGCCTTATCTACCCTTCCCTCATTTATTCTTCATTTGCCCATTATCAAATGACATTAAGCCCAAAGATGCCTTGGGCCACATCAAGGCATCACTTTTGGTATCACTCTCTGCAGGCCTCATTAGCTCTTTTTCTATCGTTGAAGGTGCCAAGGGTACCTCTGCCGTATCAAGGATACCTAGGCCTTTGCACTTGCTGTTCTATGCCCCAAATGTTCTTCCAGCAGATCTGACTCCTCAACATATGGGACATATGTGCATCTCTCTCAGGGAGGCTTCTTGAACTAGTAAATTTAAAGTAGCCCCATTCTTGCTCTGGCTGGTTTGGCTTAGTGGATAGAACCTCGGCCTAAGGACTGAAGGGTCCCGGGTTCGATTCCAGTCAAGGGTATATGCCTAGGTTGTGGGCTCAATCCCCAGTGGGAGGCGTGTGGGAGGCAGCCAATCAATGATTCTCTCTCATCATTGATGTTTCTATCTCCTTCTTCTCCCTTCCTCTCTGACATCAATAAAAACACATTTTAAAACATAGCCCCATTCTCCTCCCATTTTCTATCTCATTGCTCTTTTTATTTTCTATTATTTATTACTATAAATAATTTTTTAGTATTATTTTCTATCCCTACATCACTTCCTGAGAAAAGGGACTTTTGATCATTGCTATGCCCTCCTCAAAATAATCAACACAGATGGGCAAATTAGTATATGGCCATATTTCCAAAGTTTGTGCCCTGTTAAACTGCTTATATTTATAGGGTTGCAGTTACATATTGGGTTTACAGAGCTCAAAAGAGTCATATAATTTCATGGAATTAAATTAGGATTTTACAATGAGTTGGACTGGTCAAATGCGTATGGTCACTGAATGGAAAATTGGAAGACAGCTAACATTCAAATATTGGCAAATCTGAGTCACAATAAGTACAGAAACAAGAAAAAAAAACAGTCAGGAATTTCATAGCAATTCTAAGGTCAGTTCAAGTTATTAGGACTTGAATTTTTTCTTCTTCTCCTTTTTTCTAGCAGTTTGTTTTTATTATATTTGACCAAAGGGTTGTTTTACAATGGATTGGGGGAAAATAAAACTGAACTTTCACTACAGATAGCTTGTTCCAGATTTCCCTTGGAACTTCCTTTCTAATTTCTCCAAGGAGGGAAACTATCCAATGGCACTAGCATATAACTTTTGATGGTGTTTATTACAGAAGGGATATAAATTAAGTTGCATCTCTTCCCCCAAAAAAGACACAACAACAGAGTGAACCAAGCGTGCAGTACGTTCCAACACCATTCTTATGACAAGGAAAGATAGAATAAGTTCACACAGAGGTGGGGAAAGGCTTATCTTGCAGGTAACATCTCAGTTCACTGGTTTTCATGTGCCTGACCCAAGGTATACACGTGTTCCCTCTACGCAAAACGGCTGTTCCAGCCTTGCAGATAGCATCAGAAGAAACTGCTTTCATGTCCTCATAGCTATCCTCTTCTGACCCAGCTTGCATTCAGGCTGGTTTCTACACAGAAATTCAACAGCGACCTTGTGTGTCTCATCTTGTAGCACCCAGTCACACTGCCTCTGGCTAAGTATCCCCCTCATATGAAGGCACCCACACATTGGGAAATTGTGCTGGAAAGTGTGTTCATGGTGGCTTTCCTTTGCCATGAAAAGATGGGTGATTCCTTTCTGCTCTTCTACACTTTTTTTTTTCTAATTGTGAATATAGTGTTTTCAGAATGGGGGGAAAAATAGTATCTTTCTTTCTTTCTTTCTTTCTTTCTTTCTTTCTTTCTTTATTTATTTATTTTTAAAAACGGTTTCTTTAAATAAAGAATTGTTGACTATGCCTGGCTGGCATGGCTCAGTGGTTGAGTGTTGACTTATGAACCAGGAAGTCACGGTTCAATTTCCAGTCAGGGCACATGCCCGGGTTGCAGGCTTGACCCCAGTGTGGGGTTCTTTAGAGTGGGGAGTGTAGGAGGCAGCCGATCAATGATTCTCTCTCATCATTGATGTTTCTATCTCTCCCTTCCTCTCTGAAATTAATGAAAATGTTTTTTTAAATTTTTTCTTAAAATAAGAATAGCTAACTTTTAGATTTTTAAAAATCTCAACATAATTTCTATTAGATCCAGTTATAACTAGCTGGCATTGAGGGAAGTGAAAGGTCAAATCGTATTTGCCCAAATCAAGTACACCATTGGCCTTAGGTAGCAATGCCTGGCACACAGTGGGTCAACATTTGAATGTAACCCTAGGGAAGTTGTCTTCCAGTTTTCCATTCAGTGACCATACTTATTTGACCAGTCCAACTCATTTTAAAACCCTAATTTAACCCCATGAAATTATATGACTCTTTTGAGCTCTGTAAACTCAATATATAACATTCTTTCTAATATGGAATGGTTAATTGATTTAAATGTCAATTTATTAAACAACTTCTCTGATTATTAAGTTTAAAAACAAACTGAATTTTATAATTGGGGCTTTATAGCGCCTGGGTGTGTTCTTGAGCCCCAGACATATAATAACTACCAGGAAGATAGCAATGTGATTCTGTCTGAGTTACCACGAGATGATTTGGACCCACGTGGACCCTCAGGGCTCAATTCAATCTATGGTTACATAGACTGGAGAGTGGGGAAAGAGTCTCATAAAAAGAGTCTCAGAAAAAGCCATGCCTCCTTTATCTTTCCCTGAAAATACCTTTACAATATTATACACACACCCTCAACCAGATCATTTCAACTACTCCTTCCCCCAACAGCTCGCTAGATCCGGGACTGGGGATGCCAGAGAGAGAACATTGCGAGCAGGTGTGGGCACTATGCTGTCTATTAGTCTAGTCCAGTGGTCGGCAAACTGCAGCTCGGCAAACCACGGCTCGCGAGCCACATGTGGCTCTTTGGCCCCTTCAGTGTGGCTCTTCCACAAAATACCACGTGGGGGTGCGCACGTACAGTGCGATTGAAACTTTGTGGCCCATGCGCAGAAGTCGGTATTTTGTGTTAAGAGCCACACTCAAGGGGCCAAAGAGCTGCATGTGGCTTGCGAGCCACAGTTTGCCAAGCCGCGGTTTGCCTACCAGGTTCTCAACCTTGGCTGCACATTAGAATCACCTGGGAATCTTTTTAAAATCCTGATTTCTGGGCCTCATCCTTTGGAAATTGTTTCTTTGTTACTATTGTTGTGGCCCCACCCCATAACAAAGAAACAGAATTTCTGGAGGATGAGGCCCAGAAATCAGGATTTTAAAAAGATTCCCAGGTAATTCTAATGTGTGGCCAAGGTTGAGAACCACTGGTCTAGACTCACTCCCCCTACACTGCATCCTACGCTGGCCTAGAGATGAGTTTTCTCATAAAAGCACTCTCTCACTGATTGCCAGCCCCTGCCTTTCCCTGTATCACCAACTCTTCACTAAATCTTCAAGATGACAGCTGGAATTAAAAAGGTTTCTGCAGCCCTAGCTGGTTTGGCT